TTCTAGACATGCTCCCGGTGTGGCATCATCACCGGTGAAGAGGGGAATCGACCAACAGAGATCCCACTAGACGTCCGCGTTCATGATGTTGACTGCAGCTCGGTCTGCTAGAGCGGGGAGAGACCCAAAAAACATCCGTGACAGGATTCGAACCTGCAACCCTCTGATCCGTAGTCAGATGCTCTTCCATTGAGCCACACGGACATGCAACCACATACACGTGGTTGATGTTCAAAGGGGCACAACACCCCCCCCCATCACAACTGCTCATCAGCGGCCCACCATCCATTGATGCCCTGGCTCTCCTCCGCCCCCTCTGGTCTGACGCGTTTTGCGTGCACCCGCTATTGCAAAAAGGCACCTTCGCATTCACCGTAATCAGCTCGGACTCAACCGCCAAAGCGTTCGTTGCTGCTCACTGCATTCCCTTTTCTTCGTCATCATCCATCTGCGGCTCATTCCCAGAAGAGGGAATGAAATCTCATGGCATGTACGATTGGGCATCACGACCACGGCTTGGAGTGGTGCATCAATGGCACATCTGGCCCATGGCCCAGCAGCCCCACAACACACATGGCACCATGTCTGCATCGCTCAGCTCGATCCTCAGCGTGGCGACAGGAGGGTTCTGTCCACACACACACACACACAGTTAGCAAACAGGTCACAAAATCATTTTGTTTGCTTCCTTGTTGAGTGCACAGCCGTTGCAAAAAGGGTGGCAAGGCCATTTTCTGGTATGGGAATAAGCATGGGTGGAATCACCTTTGTGATTATGACATGAACAGGGCTGAAGAACTTGGCCATATGACGAAAAAAGTAGTTGCAGTTGTGGCAGTGGGCCGTCAAAGAAGGTCTAGAGGAACACTGTAGAAAGAGAAAGGAGCACCTCACGTGTAAGGATCGTCCAGCCAATTTTGCGCCTCTCTCACATCACTGACGGAGCACCCCAATAATAGAAGTGTACCACAGCCAGACTTTGACGTGAGCAGGTTCAAGATTGCACAAGATATCGCAGGCACACCTAAACAACAGCAGCAGAAGCATCATCAACAGGAAAAGCAACCACTCAGAAAACAAGAACTTCATACAAAGCACACAAGGTGTGCGAAAGTCACACACGTGCTGACGCTTTTCCCATGACCAGATGTAACCATAGATGACGTTCCGAAATGGCAGACGACATTCCACCGTTCGTGTGGTTTGATTTGAGGTCTTTCGACTCTCCGCCTTGTTTCTCGGCAAGCTCTTTGTGGCGTCATCAGGTTCAATTAAGAATAACACTCCTTTCAAGCGAAAAGTTGCCGAAGTACACGTGTGTCTTTTTTTTTTCGGCTATAATACAGAAAGGAATTCATTAGCCAGGCGAGCCAGACGCCAAGGTTCATGCACCACTCGTTGTCTTTGCTCCGCAAATTGCCTTTCAAAGGCCTCATCCCGGGTAGTGGTCGATGTGACGTTCTGCCACGCCATGACTCTACTCAAAAGTTGATCAGCGATCATGTACTTCCTCCAGTGGACAACGACAATGTCTCCTAACACCTTGCCCGTATTCCTTGGCGGATACATTTCATCCGTACGGACAGTCAAGAACGATGGCATTGTATGTCGTAGCCGTCCTATTTCTGTAAGATAGCGCTGAACTGGGGGTATTGGGGGATGAATATCGACGTCAGGAATGCCTTTCATATAGTCCTCCAACAACTGAACGCTCTCTCCTTCCACACTGTTGTTTGCTTCCAGTAGTTTGCCCAAGTGAGCAACATTCTGCAGGGTGCTGGCGGGAAGGAGCGCCAGCAGACGTGGTTGCTTTATCACTCGCTGCAGAAGCGGATGCCGCAGACCCTGATAAACCCCCACTGCACCGTGCAGATTGTTCAGCCGCATTAGGGAAACGACGAGATCTACAAAGCGCCGGTGAACATAAATAAAGTTTTTCCCTAATGATAGTGCATCTCGCTCTTGCAGGACATCAAGACTGTCGAGGGCAGCCGCATGGAGAAGCACGGAGACGGTCCATGCGGCAAGTTCCGCCGAGGCGGTGAGAAACAGGCCGACTGATGAAAGGCGGAAAGCGCTGGAGCACAAATAGGCCGCAGCGGAGTGGTGCGCCACCTGCAGCAGGGATTCGGCCTGTAGCGAAGCAAACAGATTTTGATGAAAAGACGTTAGAGCTGTGGCGCACTGCTCCACTGGAACAGCGACGAAGAGCCTCACTACTTCCTTTGCATCCTCGACCCAGTGCTCACCAATCGGTGCGACAAGGCTAAAATCCCGCGCTGTGCACCATGAGAGTACGGAGGGCGGCTTCTCCAACACTATCGTGGAGCCGCTGTCTGACGCCACTGCTGCTGCTGCCTCTTTACACGGTGATAGGGATGATGATACTTTAATTGTTGGTGGACAGTCGCGCAGACTATGCTGACGCGTACATGTCCCACAGTCTCGCTGCTCACGAGGTGCTGCAGCACTCGCCGCGATACTGGTCCGCACAAACTCGGCCATTCCCGCTAACTGCGACGGGCAATCGCTCCACGGTTGCGGTGTGAAGCAGCAGTCCTCCAGGAATAAGTTGATGCACTGGTGCATTTCCTCATCGAAGTGCTGCGGATATTCGCGCAGCCACAGCAGCAGCACGGACAAGACACGCATTTGTACCTTCCGGCACACAAGCAACCAAAGTGTGGCACTCGGTGAAAAGTGGCTCGCTCTCCGCCTCTCCTCTCCATCCTCGCTGCCGCTCGTTACAAGTAACGTACACAAAGAAGGAGAGAGAGATGTTCCTGGTGCGTGGACGGTGATGCCGTGCGCCTCAAAATGTTCAAACCCAAGCTGCACTGAGAGAGGCACAAGAAACCGCTCCATTAGTTTCGCAAGAACTGTGTGAGAAGAGGTGAAGTAGCGGTGCTGCCGCAAAAAGGCACACGTAAACTCCTCCTGCACCCGCAACTTGTCCTCTGATAAAGATGAAAGCGGCAGCACACTGACATGCGTCAACTCCTCTATGAGTTGATGGAGTGTGCCAAACATGCGCCGCCCAGTCCCCGCACTTTTCCCTCCTGAAATGTAGATGGCGTCCGCAGCATCCTGCGGTGACCACATGCGGCGCTCGTTGGGATCCAGCACATAGTGCATGGTGTCTGCTTCTGGGGGTTGTAGACCCATTGCATGGAACTGACGTGTAACCTTTACCTCGCCGTTGCGCAGCAGACGCCGCACAACAGCCCGTGTAGTGGCGTGGGTGTGGAGAAGCCACTCCAACGCGCTGGGGGGTGGGCGGGACAACAACGAGTGCGCAGCAGCACCACAACTCGGCTGCTGCCGCATCGCCACGCTACCAGTGGAGGCTGCATCCGCCTTTGCCTCGCGTCGCATCCCAGCGGCCACCTCCCGCATGCCCACGGCCTCCAGGTACGCCACCACCACATTTCCAAGAACATCAGCGGTGATGGGAGACTTGCGTTCGTCGCTGCTGGCGTCATCCAGCGGGGATGTCATGCGTGACGCCCACGC